TTAAGCGCTGAAATCCTAACCCCATTAGTAACTCCAGACCTTGGTGGGGTAAAGGTCACAGGGAGGTTTCATATTTATGGATTAACATTTGGATTCCCTTTTTATTTTTTTAACTCTTTGCCTAGAACTCTTGAACCTGGACCATAATGCTATTCAAGAGCTTGGATTAAAGTGATCTTTCATTTCCTAGAGTATCTTAGCCCCAAGTAGGAGTATTATGCTTTAGAAATAAGACAAAATGTAGTGATTGTAGGATTTTGGAATTCTGAGTGCATGGGGGAGGTGGGGCTGTACTCCACAGATGAAAACAGGACATACGCCATAAAGATCCTAAACACTAAAACTTTTTTTTTTTAAGTACAAGGGTATTTTACACATTGACACCATTAACTGACATACTTAGCTCTCAGTAGCAATCATTGCCTTCCATTCCTAAGTTCAGATAACGTGGGTTGCTCAGATTTCCCTTGTGTGTATGTGCGTGTCTCTGTTCATGTGTCTGCATGTGTGTACGTGTACATGTGGAAGCCATAGGTTGACGTCAGGTATCCTCCCTGATATGCTCCTCCTTATGTCTGGAGACAGGGTCTGTCTCTGAACTGGGGGCCCTCTAAGTCAGCTAGGCTATCCGGCGGCTCTGCTACTCAGTGCTGGCTTTCTAAGTGTGAGCTCTCATACTGGTGAGGTTAGAACATGGTTCTGGAGATTAAATCAGGTCCTCATGCTTCTGTAGCAAGTGCTTCATCCACTGAATCACCTCTCTAGCCTTGGATCTGTTACTTGGGTGCTATTATTTTCCCATCAACAAGAGAAAGTTGGATACTAGCAGATGAGATGTCTCTTGGGCATCAGCTAAGAGATGAGAACTGTTGAAAATCCTTTTTATAAAAAACTGTGTGTGTGTGTGTATACGCAATGTCAGAAGTGTCCAGCAGGGGGCATCACATTCCTTGGTCCTTGAGTTGCAGGTAGTTGTGAGTCACCTGACACACATACTGGGACCCAAACTCTGAGAGGCTCTCTGAAAGAGTGGTTTGCACTCTTAAGTGCAAAGCCATTTCTCCAGCCTGGCTTTTAAAATTCTTCATACTGCATGCCCTTGTCTCCTTTGTCTAGATTCCTGTATAAGCTAAGGCGTATTCATCTTATACTCATTGGAGAAAATGTAACTGAGCTCATGAAATGTGGAGCTGTTTCCTACATTAATTCTCTGGTCAGGACTGCAGCTAGATTTACATAGCTACAGCCTTTCTCCACTGGAGAGCTGTGCACAGAGGAGGTCATAGCTGTGCACAGAGGAGGTCACAGCTGTGCCCAGGGGATGTCACAGCTGTGCACAGAAGAGGTCACAGCTGTGCACAGAGGAAATCACAGCTGTGCCCAGGGGATGTCACAGCTGTGCACAGAAGAGGTCACAGCTGTGCACAGAGGAGGTCACAGCTGTGCACAGAGGAGGTCACAGCTGTGCACAGAGGAGGTCACAGCTGTGCACAGAGGAGGTCACAGCTGTGCACAGGGGAGGTCACAGCTGTGCAGAGGGGAGGTCATAGCTGTGCACGGAGGAGGTCACAGCTGTGCACAGAGGAGGTCACAGCTGTGCACGGAGGAGGTCACAGCTGTGCACAGGGGAGATCACAGCTGTGCACGGAGGAGGTCACAGCTGTGCACAGGGGAGATCACAGCTGTGCACAGAGGAGGTCACAGCTGTGTACAGAGGTCACAGCTTTGCAGATGACTATCACATAAAGGTCGTCAGGTAGAGACTAGGTCTATGAGAAACTGAGGAAAGATAACCCAACAGCTTAATGGCTATTAAGCTGTTTATCAGAGTGTATGCATGCAGTACATGCGTATGTGTGTGCAGATGCGTATACAGACACACAAGAGGATGCCAGAGGAGGACGCCAGGTATCCTGAATGCTCTCTGACTGAACTGCAGTTAGCTGTTCTGGTTAGACTGCCTAATGGCAAACCATCTAAAACAATCCTCTGGTCTTAACCCCCTACAGTTCTGGGGTGACAGACATTGAAATCTACATGGACTAGTCTGTGTGCTGGGGATGTGAATTCAGGCCTTCATGCAGTTTAACAAGCACACTCCCTATGAGCCATGTCTTCAGCCCCTTGTTAAGCTGACCTGACCAACTTATTCATGCTCTCACCAATTATTCATCACACACCTACCTCATGCCAAGTCTGATTTAGGCACTGAAGATAAAAATGAACAGGGCCCAGTCCCTGCTACGTAGGATCTTGTCGGCAGAAACTGTGATGGTCAAATTAAACAGATGACTTCAATACACGTGAGTGTATTCCGGGCTGTGGACTGAATCTCAGACTAGGTTAGCAAGAGATAGCATGCTGATGAACTGATGAAATAGGTGAATTTATTCATGAAGGTGCGTGTGTGTGGTGTGTATTGTGTGTGTGGTCTGTGGGTGGTCTCTGTGTGTGGTGTGTATGTGTGTTTATTGTGTGTGTGTATGTGTGTGGTGTGTGTATTGTGTGTGTGTGGTGTATGTGTGTGTGGTGTGTGTGTGGTGTGTGTGTGTAGTATGTATTGTGTGTGGTGTGTGTGTATTGTGTGTATGTGTGTGTGGTGTTCATATATGTGGTGTGTGTTTATGTGTGTGTGTAGTGTTCATGTGTGTGGTATGTGTATATATGTATGTGTGGTGTGTGTGTGGTAAGTGTGTGTGTCTGTGTATGTGTGTGGTGTCCATGTGTGTGGTATGTGTATATGTGTGTGTGTGGTGTGTGGTATAGGTATGTGTTTGTGTGTGTGTATGCATGTGAGTGTGTGGTGTGTATGTCTATGTATGTTTTAAAAGTGGTTTTCTACCCTGTGCTGTGTGGAGACAAGAAGAGGACATTGGTGTCTTGCTACAACCTTCTCCCCTTTATTTCCCCGAGTCAGAATCATTTGCTGAGCCTTGATCTCGCTCTTTTGTATTAGGGTAAGTGGTCAGTTAGATGGAAGTATCTACTGCCTCCCATTCCACATCCCAGGCACTGGGGTTTCAGGCATGCGATCATGCCCAGGTTTTACATGGGAGATGACTATTCAAACACAGGTCTTCATGGTTCTGTACTAAGCACTCACACATGCTGAGCCACTCCTCTGGCCCCGCCCACAAGGTAATATTTGATAGCAAACATTAGGTGAAGGAAAACCAGTGGCCAGTACCTGAAAAGAGACCCTAGCTCAGGCTACTCTGCTTCAACCGAAAGACACTGGAAACTCAGTACCACCATAGTGATGAGCCACTGAAAGCAAAGACAGGGCAGTGGCTGTACCAGGCAAACAAAACTGGAAAGCAAGGGATGCCCAGAAGCGTTTCTGCCAGTTGGTTCCCTCCTGCCTGCTGCTTCATTTACTGCCCATTTCGGTATGAAGCAGGGCTCACTGGAAGGCATGCAAGACTTCTTTAATAACTCTCAGCACTAATTTAATTCTACTTAAACACACATATTCTCCCGAATGCCACATGCTTTTCAGCATGATTTTTATGTGTAAATCATGATAATCCGTTTTCAGCTCATTAAGTAAAAGGAAGCATGAACTAAAACCTATTTAATCAATGAGGTATCACCTTTAAACTGCCACAAGGTCATAGAAGAGATCATTTCTAAGCAATAAGTTCCCTAATTGTGATCAACAACAATCTAACGACGGGAGAAAGAAAGTCCGAGTGGCGGCAATAAAGTGGCAAATGCTCTCCAAAGATATCGCTTCTTATTTGGGTGAAGGGTCACCTCCCATATCTGGACCTCAGGGTACTTACTTTCAGTGGTTACTCTGATTCCAGATGGTGTAAACCACTGAGGAGCCTCAGTTCACAGCGGGTCTCAGCTCTGCCCCACACTTCATAAAGCAATGACTTATTTCTCCTATTTCTGTTACATTGATCCTTGTATTAACAAACATACCCCCATGTGTGTACCGCATGAGCAATAAGCATGTGCTATTTTAACTGAGTGATTATCACATACACAAAAGAACTTATTAGACCACACAGGCCTAACTACACCATGGGCAGTGTCTGAAATGAACTCCTTTGTGAATTCAAACTACATTGCCATAAACTGGGAACGATCTCAGTCAGAGTACATGTTATCAAAGGAGCACATAGTTGATTAAGGTTCCTCAATGCAAGGAAGTTTGGCTGCAGGGCAGACACAAGATCTCCTTGGTTGTTCTCCAGAAGTATTTTCTGAAAGCCCACATTCCAAACCTCAGTTGAATGTCTCATTACTTTGGATGTGCTTTCTGTTCAGCATCTATGGATACCAAACTGAGGGGGAGACTTCTTAGCCCTCAGACCTCACATGTTAGGGCATGGGGTGGAGCTGACTGCACATCTGAGATCAATAATTATGGTTATTCCAGACTGCACCAATTTTGAGTACAAATATTTAAAATAAATATACCCAGAACGCATTGGATTTCGCACAGGGAGGGGTTAGAGTGTTTACCGGGATGAAGTGTTTTTGGGGCACGTGAATGAGAGTCCAGCTATAATAGCCACTCCTTGCCCCTTACAAGAGGACCTATATTTTAAGACTGGTATTGTCAATATGTTTTGCAAAGGGGTTGTACCTTTTCAAAATTCTCCAATCATTCCTGGGTACCAACGCTCCCGTCTCCTTCTGTATATGCTACCAACACTGAAAAGGTTTAACAGAATCTAGCAAGTTGAAGAAATCAGAAAACAAACAAAAATAAATGACAAATAAAAATTTACTAATGTTCTTAAGGTATGGACATCAGAGATACCTGTGTATACAGATACACGCAGAGTAAAAAAAAAATCAAACTAGTTAAAGTCATCCAAGAATATCAATAAGGAGTTTTCAAAATAAGAAAACATCCTAAACATGCAAAACTACAGCCAAGCCAGCCTCTCACTTCTAAAATACAGAGTTCACTTCACTTGCCACTCAGATGTTGGGATTCCTGTTTAAAATCAGAAAGCCATCAACAGACTTCACAGACTCACCCCCGGGAGGCATTTCAACAGAGACACGGTCACTGAGCACGCTCCCTTGGCTGTTTGAAGCATTCACTTGTACTGTGTAGTGGGAGAAGGGAACCAGTCCGTCCACCAGCACCCAGAGCCGCTTTCCTCCAATGTTGCAGATGGTTTTTGTACCACTGAGAAGGGTGTAGTTGTTGCCTGCTGATTGAAGAGACAAATTACACTTAAAGGATATCTTCTGCAATCGCCTGAGTGTTTTCTTGGGTTGGTTTCATGTTTCATGAAATGGCCATATATAAAACATTTATAAAAATGTATTCTTACAGGTCTTAGCAAAAGTGCAAAGGAAAAAAATGTCTGCTGACTGTTGGAGAGGCCTAGGGTTAGAATCTGTGCTTAGCTTTTTTGTAGTAATGTGTCTTCTCTCAAGATACCCAACGTTTCTGAGTATCTAGCTTTTTATCTGTGAGCTCCAAGTGGTGATTGTCACACAATTGCACCATGAATGTCAGCTCAGATCTTTCTTTCCTGTACCTAGCATAAATATCTGCTAAAAACCACCTGTTATTTGGTGTCTTGGGGCTTCTGAGCATAATGTGTATAACAGCACATAGTTAAGAAGTATTCTGTGTGTATGGCTCATCAACGTATGTGGGGCTGTGGCTCATACATAGGCATGGCTCCTGTTGGGTTGAGTTGTAGATCCCTGTGTCTGCCGCCCCAGGTGGCTCAGGGGGGCGGAAGTGTGGGAATTTGACAGAGTTCACTCCACGTGGCGCTAGGCAGGCAGATGCCACTGGGCTAGGGGAAGCCACTGAGTTCCACTCTGGGCATGGGAACATCCCAGTCTGAGGTCCAGTGGGGGCAGAGCTCTTGGATTGGGGGTCTCCAGCCGAGGTTGTTGGCCTGAGACTGGCTGGTCTCAGCCATTGGGCACCCAGGTGCCGCTGGGGGACCACAGAAGGACTGAGATGGGGGGGGGACATATGGGCTGGACCAGCCCACAGCTGAAAGGGAGGGACATGGGGAAAAAGCTCTGGTGGTGTCCTGCAGGGTAGGTGAGACTTTTGGTTTAGGTGACTTGCTTGGCTGGGTCATGGCTGGCTCGGCTTGCTTGCTTCAGTTGACAGGCCTCTGTGGCTGGAATGTAGAGAAGTCCTCTGGCCGGAGATTAGGCTGTGGCTCATTGGTTGAAGGCTCCCTCTACAGTTCTCCACAGCGGCGGAGGGGGGGGGGGGGACACACACGGGACACACAAAGACAAGAGGAAGTCCATGGTTTTAAAAGGTTTATTGTGGTGGAAAGTGGATGAAGCTGTACCCTGTGTTCTCAGGGTGGGCTTGAGGTTAAATATCTTTTGTGAGTAGGAGGGTCTGGGAAGGAATGTTTAATTGGCTATACCCTCTGGCCTTTAGGTATCTCATTAATATGGAGATCTCTTGAGGCTCTGTGGCCTGTAGTCACACCCTCTACTTGTGCTACGTGACACAAACCTTTCTCTGGGATGGGCTGTGGAAGGCTGAAGCTATGTGAAAGGAACCAGTGCCCAGGAGCAAAGCTGAACACTTTTAGGGTATTCGGGGTTCGAGGACTGCACTCTACCAAGTACCCAGCTGCCTCTTACAGCCCACTGCCCCACAAATGTCTATAGTCTGATTAACTGTCTTGAACAAATCTACCCAATTCTCTCACTACAAGGAAAACACAGTACAGATTGCTGCTACTGTTTTGCTATAACCCATACAATTCACACCACAAGACTCACATCTGCAAGACAAATGTAATCCATACAATTCACACCAGCAAGACAAATATAATGTGTATAATACACACCCACAAGACAAATATAATCCATATAATTCACACCTGCAAGACAAATGTTAAACACTGGCATGTGCTTAAGAAGTAAGCACCTGGTGTCCTGTTTCCTCAGTGGCTATTAACTATGTGCTAATCATCAAAATATATTGTTGTTCAATTAAATTCTAGTGTTCTTCAATTGTGACCAACACAAATCTCACCTTATCATATCCTTTTTATTCCATCAGATAATATTCCAGATTCTAAGAATAACAGGAGTCTGATATCTGCTTAGGGTGTGGCCATTTCATGAAACATTGGTGGGACAGAAATGATTAAACATATACAAAAATATCTTTAAAGTTATTTATAAGTGTTTATAATAATTTCTGGTTGAAGGAAGTAGCTAAAATTTTTATTTTGAGTATGTATGCACAGTTAAGTGTCTTCAGTGGCCACAGGAAATCCTGGAAGACCAAACAAAATTTGTTATTTTGGTCTTGAAACTGGTACAACCAAAGGGCTGGCTATTCCAGAGAGAATAACACTGTTGATGGACCAGAACGCTAAGAAGCATAGTTGCTATTTATTTTCAGTAAAGAAGTCTTCTAAGTTTATGAAGGGATGCCAAGTCTGAGATGGAAATAGAACTCTCTCCTGCCATATATGCAATGAAGTGATTGCAGAATTCTAAATTTTAAGGGCTTTACTCTGTTTGAGTTTCCTTTTGAATTGTAGTATTTAGCCTTCTGAGGTTCTGTGTGGCTACATGGCTTGACTGAAGACTGCTGAGTGCCAACTGTAGGCCAGGAAACTTTGGTGCCAGCAACATGACTCCTCAAAAGCATAAAGCATGGGCCCTGTACCCAAGAAGTCTGCTTAGAGGGCATGCTGGTCCTGTCTGGTCATTGTCTCAGGATGGTCACATGGTCAGCATCAGCCCAGCTTCAGGTCCCAGGACGCCCAATTCTTTGGAAGCATTTTTACTAATGGCTAAAATGAAGGCTGCTGTTGCCACAAGCTCAGCTGTAAAATTGCAAAAAGGTCACCTTATCCCACTGAGACCCAGACAGATGCTCATCTGGCAAGGAAGTTGTGTAATTTGCACATCATATAAAAGAATGAGAATTGTAAAACACCGACAAAATTCTACAATTATGCCACAAGAGCATAATTTTACCTATTTCTCGCCAGGTGTGAACACGAGAGTTAGCATCTATGCTCAAAACACTGGAGAGAAAGTGTCCTACTTGGATTTGGTTTGTTTATTTGTATTGGAAGCAATTTTTTGAGCTGTAAAAGAGACCCTGTCAGGAGCTCTGAAAATGGCATGGCAGAGAGAAATATAGTAAGTACCACTTTACTCTAAGTTTGCCCTATAACAACATTAATACATGGTAATTATACAATTAGTTGTAATGTTAGTTTCTAGCTATAGAACAATGATTACTGAGTAATTATAAGAAGTATATAATTACTCAATAATTATGAGAAGGAAGCAATTATATAACCATTTTGCTCAGCTCAAAAAAAAAAAAAAAAAGCTGTACACGTGTATCTTCAGGAGCCATGCAGCCGAGTGAGTACGATCTTCCCTTGTGCCTCCACAAATGCATGGTTCAGTTCAGAGAACCGAGAGTGAAGGTCAGGATTTCTACTCTCCACGAAGGCCAAAAATCCTCGGTTCAAAACCCACTGTGGATCCAGAGATTAGCGTACCTTGCTCTGCAGGAGTAATCGTGGGTGTGTGGGTCACTGCAAGTTTCTAGGTTGGGGAACCAGAGTTTGCCATACTCTGAACCCTAGTCATTGCAATGTTTAGCAGAGCGTCTCTGATCCACACTGCTCTAGCTTAACATGAGGCACTGGGCTTTAAGACCAGCTGAGAGAGTCAAACTCTTTGCAGAATGGGCTGATTTTTAGCAAGAATCCATGGTTCATCCACACTGGAGTCACTTAGAGAAGTTTCATAAAAATGCATAGGTTTGAGTTCCACTCAAACTTACAAGTGAGATCAGTACAGGAAGCGGAAATCACCGAGTGTGTTCATTCATAGACATGATGAAATCTGAGAACTACCAGTTGAATTAGTTATGTATAGATATGCTATTTTTAAAGACTAATTTATGTGTATGAGTGTTTTACTTGTATTTATGTCTGTGTACCGTATGTGTGTCTGATGCCCATAGAGGTAAGAAGAGAGCATTGAATCCTGGAACTGGAATTATAGATAGTTGTGAATCACCAAGTGGGTGCTGGGAACTTGGTCTTATATAAGAGCATCCGGTGCTCTCGACTTCTGAGCCACTGTTCTGGCCCCAACAATTAAGGTAATCTTACACTAACGATTACAGTTCATTTCCTCTACTTCTAAAAGTAGCTGGACCACATGCGGCTTCCTAACGAGAAAAGCTTTGGACTCTGGGTGTAGGCTACAAAATGTTTATTCTATTAGTAATTTAGCTATACAAATAAAGAGTATAGTATATAAACATAACACACACACACACACACACACACACACAGAGCTGATATATAAACAAGACCTATCTTTGAAGGCTACAAAGTCTAATACAACTGCTGTATGAGAAATTTTAGTGTAGGCATGAAAGAACTTCAAAGTGAGTTATCAGCTATCACTGAGGTATCTGTGACAACAGTGACTTCACGCCTGCGGTAGGTATAATGACAGTGACTTCACAATTTCTGACTTGACATTTTCTTCTCCTTTTGTGGCCCTCTCATTCCAGTGCAGGGACTGGAAACAGGCATATTTCATCACAAGGAGGGGACAAGTTTTACATAGCTCTTAGAACTGAAATCTTATGATTACTACTGTTTTATGTGCATGTGTGTTCCCTGTGCTGTTACATACATGTGTGTGCAGAGAGCAGGAAGTCATCACTTTCCTCAAAGCTGGAGTTTCAGGTGGTCCTGAGCTCCTCTAGGAGGGTGCTAGGACCTGTATTCAGGTTCCCTGGAAGGGCACTGTGTGCTCTTGATCACTGAGCCATTTCTCAGGCCCCCCAATCACATAATCAAAGGGAAAAATATTTTCATGGGTAGTAACTGTCTGTAACTAGTCCATAGGGATGTGACACCGTCTTCTAACCTCCTAGGTACTAGGCAAAGGCACAGACACAGTACACAGATGTATACAGAGGCAAAACATTTATATACATAAAAAATAAAAATCAATCAATCTTTTAAAATAAGAAATGGCTCTAGCTACTTTGGGATATTCCAAATTTTGAGGAGTCTTCAGACATGTTAAATCATCTGGTTCTACCTTCATATTTTGTCTTGAAGAGACAGGGGAAGAGAGAGAGGAAGGAGGAGGAAGAAGAAGAGAAGGAGGAGGAGAAGGAGGAGAAGGAGGAAGAAGAGGATGAGGAAGAGGA